AGACAGGCTATGTATTGGAACATAAAGCAAACTTCAACAAATTTAAAAGAACTGACACGAAATGGAATGAAACTAGAAATCAATACTGGAAAGATATCAGGAAAATATCCAAATATTTGGAAACTAAATAACACACTCTTGAATAACTCATGGATCAAAGAAGTCAAGAGAAATCAAAAGTCACATTTAACTGATTCAAAATATAAATGTAACATATTAAAATTTGTGAGACACAGCTAAAACAGTGCCAAGAGAAAAATTTATAGCACTAAAGGCATACATTAGTAAAGAGGAAAAGTCTCAAATCAATAATCTAAGCTCACCCCTCAAGAACTTAGAAAAAGAAAAGCTTAATAAATCCAAAGCAAGCAGAAGGAAGGAAAGAACAAAGAGCAAAAATAAATGAGAAATAGAGAAAATTAAAAGAGCTGGTTCTTTGAAAAGATCAATAAAATTGACAAACTTCTAGCAAGACTAACAAAGAAAAAGAGGGAGAAGACACAAATCACCAGTATCAGGAATGAAATGGCGAATGTCACTACAGACCCTGCAGATATCAAAAGGATAATAAGAGAATTTTACAAACAACTTTACACACATAAATTTGACAACTTTCCTAAAAAAAAACAAAACACACACAAACTACCACAACTCACCCAATGTGAAATAGATCATATAACTACAAGGAGACTGAATTCATAATTTTAAAACTCCCAAAAAAGAAATCTCCAGGACCAAATGGTTTTACTACACAATCTAGCATATGTTTAAATAATTACACAATCTCTTCCAGAATATAGAAGAGAAGGGAACATATCCCAGCTCATGTGACTTATACCAAAACCAGACAAAGCCAGAAAACTAGAAACCAATATCCCTCTTGAGTATAAATACAAAAATCCTTAACAAAATATCAGCAAATAGAATTGAGCAATACTTAAAAATAATTATACACTATGACCAAGTAGGGTTTATTCCAGGGATGCAAGGCTGTTTCAATATTCAAAACTCAATCAGTGTAATCAAACCATATTAACAGGCTACAAAAAATCACATGATCATAGCAATTGATACCGAAAAGGTATTGGACAAAATTCAACATTTATTCATGATAAAAATCCTCAGAAAAATATGAATAAATGGGAAATTCCTCAATTTGGTAAAGAGCATCTTCAAAAAACCTATAGCAACATTATACTTAACGGTGAAGGACTGAAAGCTTTCCCCCTAAGATCAGGAATAAGGCAAGGATATTTACTCTCACCACTCTTATTCACCATAGTTCCAGAAGAGTTAGCTAGTGCAATAAGGCAAAAAAATAAATAAATAAATGAAAAGGAAGATATAATTTGTCTATACAAAGAAAATCCCCAGGAGTCTACAAAAAAAAACTACTAGTGCTAATAAGTAAGTTCAGCAAAGTTGCAGAATATAAGATAATGATACAAAAACCAACTGTATTTCTGTATAGCAATAAACATGTGGACATCAATATTAAAAATATAATATCATTTACAATCACTCAAGAAAGAATGGAACACTTACATGTCAATCTAACAAAACATGCATAGAACTTTTGTGCTGAACACTGCACAATGCTGATGAAAGGAATTTTAAAAGATCTAAATAAATGGGGAGACATTGTGTGTTCATGGACTAGAAGATTCAACATAAATATAATAGATGAAATATAGATATATAAACATAGGTGAAGTATAGAAATATAGAACATAGATAAAGATTCAACATAGATGTCAATCTTCCCAAAAGATACAGATTTAACAAAATTCCTATCAAAATCCCAGGAAGATTTTTTATAGATATGGACAAAGTTATTCTAAAATGTAGATGAAAAGGCAGAGGAACTAGAATAGCTAAAAACAATTTTAAAAAAAAGAGAAGGAGGGGCCAGCTCCGTGGCCGAGTGGTTAAGTTCGCGTGCTCTGCTGCAGCTGCCCAGGGTTCAGATCCTGGGCGCGGACATGGCACCGCTCGTCAGGCCACGTTGAGGCAGCGTCCCACATCCCACAACTGGAAGGACCTGCAACTAAGATAGACAACTATGTAGGGGGGCGGGGGTTTGGGAAATAAAGCAGAAAAAAAAGATTGGCAACAGTTGTTAGCCTGGGTGCCAATCTTTAAAAAAAAAAAAAAAGAAGGAAAAAAGTGTAAGGAATTAGTCTATGTTAATCAAGACTATATGGTATTGGTGGAGGGAAAGATATATAGATCAATGGAACAGAATAGAGAACCCAAAATTAGATACACACAACTATGCCCATCTAATTTTGTGTGTGTGTGTGAGATAGAGAAAGATTGTCTCAGAGCTAACATCTGTGCCAATCTTCTTCTATTTTATATGAGATGCCACCCCCATGTGGCTTGACCAGGGGTGCTAGGTCCTTGCCCAGGATCCGAACCTGTGAACCCCAGGGCATGGAAGCAGAGCGCATGAACTTAACCACTATGCCACCAGGCCGGCCCACGCATCTAATTTTTGACAAAGTGCAAAAGCAATTCAATAGAGGAAAGATAGCATTTTTCACAAATGTTGCTGGAGCAATTGCCCGTCTATGACCAGAAAATAAACCTCGACCTCAGTCTCACACGTTATACAAAAATTAATTCAAAATGGATCACGGACTCCAGTGTAAAATGTAAACCATAAAACATTTAGGAAAAAACATAAGAGAAAAAATTCAGGCTCTAGAGCCTGGCAAAGACACCAAAAGCACAATCTATAAAAAGAAAAATTTGTAAATTGGACTTCCTCAAAATTTAAAACTTTTGCTCTGTGGAAGACTGTGTTAAGAGAATGAAAAGACAAGCTACAGAATGAGAGAAAAATATTTGCCAACCACATATCTGACAAAGGACTAGTGTCTAGAACATATAAAAGACTCTCAACATTCAAAAGTAAAAAAGCGAACAATCCTGTTAGAACATAGACAAAGCACCTGAAGAGACATTTCACCAAAGAAGATATACAGATGACAAATAAGCATATGCAAAGCTGTTCAACATCATTAGCCATTAGTGGAATGCAAATTAAAACCACTGTGAGAAATCACTACACACCTACCAGATTGGCTAAAATAAACAGTAACGACACCAAATTCTGACAAGGATTCAGAGAAACAGGATCACTCATATATTGCGGGTGGGAATGTAAAATGGTAGTATTTGGTCGTTTCTTAAAAAACTAAATATGTAACTGCCATACAACCCAGCAAGTGAGCTCATGGGCATTTATCTTAGAGACATGACAACTTAAACATTTGCACAAAAATCTATATACAAATGTTTGTAGCAGCTTTGTTCATAATAGCCCAAAACTGGAAATAATCCAGATGTCCTTCAATAGGTGAATGGTAAAACAAGCTGTAACTACAGCCATACCTTGGAATACTAGTCAGCAATAAAAAGGAACCATCTGTATTGATAGGCACAATTACCTAGATGAATCTCCAGAGAATTATGCTGAGTGAAAAAAACCAACCCTGAAAGCTTACATACTGTATGATTTCATTTATATAACACTCTTGAAATGACAAAATGATAGAAATAGAAGACAGATTAGTCGTTATAAGCCAGGGGTTATAGAGGGAGTGGGAACAAGAGGGAAGGAGTTCTAGCTCTAAAGGTTAACATGAAAGATCCTTATGGTGATGAAAATATTCTGTATCCTGACTGTATCGATGTGAATATCCTGGTTGTAATACTGTATTATACTTCTGCATGATGTTACCATTGAGAAAAACTGGATAAATGGTACATGGGATCTTTATTATTTCTTTCAAGTGCATGTGAATCTATAATTATCTCCAAATTAAAAAGTTAATTTTTTTAAAAACTCAGGGCACACAAAAATAAACTTTTTTCCATAAATCTACAAAGTTCAGCTGATAGAGACCAGGTGGCTCTTGTGATCTTGGCTGGCTTCACTCATGTGCAGGGGGCGGGTGGGGGGGGGTTCAGCTGACCTAGGCTGGGTTCCTCTAGATCAACTGGGCAACTTGACTCCGCTCCATGTATCACTCATCCTCAGCAGGCAGGCCTGGATGTGTTCTCATGGCTACAGAAGAGGCGCACAAGAAAGCAAGCTCTAATGGACAAACCTCTCTCAATCCGGAGCTTCATCATGATGACTGATGCAAGTCACATGACTGAGCCTGGAATCAAGGGACAAGGCAGATCACACTACTCATGATGGAAGGGCACTGCAAAGTTACAGGCGCGTACACAGGGAGCAATGAAGAGCTGGGGCTGTGATGGACTCAACCACACCATCCTTGATCACCTCCAGGATTAAAAACACCTGCTACCACTCTTCTTCCTCCTCATAAGCAGACTGTGGCTACTCTCCATTGTTTCATGGATCATTCCACAGGATCTGAGAGCCCTTTTGCCAAAGACGGGTCACAAGGGAAGAGAAGATATGATGTCTAAAAACTTCCCATACCGAGTCAAGCGACCCCTAAACCATCCCACTGCCACTTGTCTCCACCTTCCCCAGCCCTGACCCAATCTTTATTCCATCTGCTGCCCCATCTCTGATTCTCTTCTCACCCCTTCAATCTTCTAGAATTCCTGTTTCTTTCCTAGCACTCACCAGACTTTATTTTATCTGAATCCCTGTCCAAGGTCACTGAGATCAGTTATTTTGGCCTCTATTTCCTCGTCTGTAAAAGGTGAATAATAGCAGTACCTACATTGCTCCATCCCAGTGTTGATGTGAGGATGAAACAATAACACTCACGTAATGAGTTTATACTGCCTGGTTCATAGTAATCCCTCAATAAATTGAAGCAGTTTTTTTTTCTTTAATGTGGAGGTGGGAGACATGCTCAGTCTAACTGCAGAGAGTTAAAGGAAACACAGGATTCCAAGATGGAATTCTGAAAATATTTTCCCGTGGCAACATTGTTCCACACCGTGATTGTACTCTCTATGACTATTATTCTCCTAAAGATTTTACAGTTCTAGTGCTTCAGCTCAATCCTACAAGTTAAATGGGCCCTCCTGGACTGAACTGGAAAACTAACCACCATGAAAAATCTTATTTCAAGGGAAAAATGTGAGTTCTATACACGTCCCTTATAAATGAACTTAGAAATAGAATCCACTCTTACTCTTGGTGTTGCCTAGAATTTAATGTTGTAAAGGAAGGTGCTTTGGAGGCTGTAAATTTGTCAGGCTGGTGAATGGTAGACATTCCACTGACCTGAGCTCTCTGAGCAAGAACCTTAGGAGTAAGCCAGATGACAGAGGTGCTCAGGGACAAGAGGGGAAAGCAAAACTGTGTTGTAAAGAAAACTAGGTAGGCCTGGGGGCACGAGTGTCAATAGGAGGTCACAGTCAATGCCTTGGCATGCAGAGGCTGAGGAGGAGTCTTGGAAAGAAACCTCAAAAAAAGGGAAAACAGGGTCCTGAGAGCAACACTAGAGGAGTGGGTACCTACCTGTTGGTGAGGAGGCTGTGAAAACAGAAAGGTTTCAACCAGGAGCTTATAAAAGTATATCTGGGATCCAAACAGAAAAGGAATAGCTAAACTCAGAATTTAAAAATGAAATAGAGTGGCCAGAAAAAGTACAAAAACTGCAGCTCCAGGGCTGAGTGAATAGAAGAGGTGGATTTGGGGCCATTACATGGAAGTGCGAGATAAGGTTTGAATGATGCTATATCCTGAAGCTAAGCTGAGAGGTTTCAGGATACAGCTGGGAGACACTCAGGACTTCTCGCTGTTGTCAAGTTCAGCATGAAGCTGGTCTTGTGGGTGCACAGGACAGCAACGAGCAGGGTGGGAAATGGGGAGGGAAGCGATACTGCAAGAAAGACAGGAAGTGGGGAAAGGAGCTGGCTTTTGGTGGAGGCACAGTCTCTTCTCCACACTGAACTAGTGAGAGCCAAGAATGAGCCTGACAGAGAGCCAGGTCTACCTGGGCACTGCTGGGCCCCGTCTCAACCTGTTAGCACACCAGGCATCCCGTGCATCTGCTGTGTCTGCAACTACATGTGGACCCCAAAGTGACACCAAGATCTTGGTGATATGAAACGCAGCTAGCAAACAGGAAATCTCAAGGATGTATCCTACAGTGGTCATCAAGCCTCTGCTTGAATACGTTTACAGATGGAACCTCACTCATGAGGCACCCGTGTCCTTATTAAAGGACTGTCATTGTGAAGAATTCCCTCCCCACAGCCAGAGCAGAGCTGCCCCCTGGTGACTTCTAGCCCCTGGTTCTCATCCTGCTCTCTAGAGCTAAGTAGTCAAATCTGATCCTTCCTCTCCCTGAGAGCAGGTTGCATTCCCCTAAGTCTTCTCTCTTCTAGGATAAATAATCTACATTACACAGCTTTAATAACCAAGCAAACGATCATTTCATGGTGGCCAAATGTATGCAAAGCACTGTGCACGTGCTAAGTGGGATCCTAAAGTGAATAAATTATCTCCTTGCTCTTCAGGCACAAAAGGTGAAGACGGAGGCATGGACAATGGACTCCAACACAAAGAAGACTGATAAGTACTATAATAAATGTTCAAAACTTGCTATCATGTAGCTATGGGGCAAGAGTAGCCCAAGTCAACTTGGTAGATGTGGAAAGGCTTCTAAGAAGAGGTGGGATTTGAGTCAGTTTGAAAGATGTGGGGAAGGAGGCAGGTGGTAAGTAGAAAGAGTATAGGACATGGGCTTATGGACCTTGGTTTTTAGCTTCCTGTTTGACCTTGAGCATATTTAAAGTGAGGGCCTTGAACTAGATGATCTCTAAAATCTAGTGATAGAGACCACAAAGGGTATAAGTTTGAGTATTCCAAATTAGGAAAGAGTCCAAAAGGGTGAAGCCCTGCCCATATCAAGGAAATGGTGTCTGTGTGTTTGGAGCAGGGATGGGGCAGGTGCTATGAGGAGGATAATTCATTCAGTATTCTGCCTGTTGTACTGATACAGCACGCATCACCATTCTGATCACGTCCTGTTGGGACACTGACAATGTCCTCCTTAGAATGGTGATGATGGTACCACCAGCACCATCAGCAGCAACGACATTTCTTTAGCAATTTACTATGAGCCAGACGTCTTTGGACGCACTCTATGTATTTACATTTACATCCCATGGAATTCTTATAACAGCCCTATGAGACAGGTGCAAGTTCTATTATTCCCATTCTACAGATGAGAAAGCAGAGGCATTAAAAACACAGAGAGTAAATAACATGCCCAAGTTCACAGAGCTAGTCCAACGGCAGAGCTGGAATTTGAACTCAGGCAGTCTCGCTTGCTGCTTCACTTCTTCAGTAAGAAAACCCAAGGGCAGAACTGAATATAGCTCTGTAGGCATGTCCCGCCTCAGCAGGACAAGGGCACAGTGGCACTATGGCTTCTTTTGCATTCCCATTAACTCAGCCCAAGACAATATCGGCTTTCTTGGAAGCCACACCACACTGAGGATTCAAATTGAGTTGGCGGTCACCTGAAACACTTTTGACATGAGCCACTCTTAAGCCAGGTCAGTCCCATTCTGTTCACATGCAGTTGATTAGATAATCCTAAATGGTGGGCTTTTCGTTGAGCCCTACTACATTCTAGGTTTCAGCTCAGAGTTTCACCCTACAATAATTTTGAAACATAATGCGATCTGATGTTATATCTCCCAGCTTAGCAATAATAGAACAATAACCGCTAACAGTTATTGGAGCCTTAACTTTGTGCAAGGCACCCTGATAACGTTTTTCATGTAGCATCTTATATAGTTAAGTCTTTACACAAAGTCAATTATTACTATTATTATTATTTGCACTTAAGAGAATAGGAAATCAAAGCTAGTCAAGTTACGAAACTTGCTTAGATCCCATCAGGGAGGGACAGACCCAAGCTTCATATCCAGGGTTGTCTGACTCTGGATCCTGAACTCTTATCCATACATTCTCCTACCTCTTTGCATCAGCTATAAACTTGCCATTATTTAAGTCAATCACAAAAAATATCAAACAGAATCAAGGACAGAACTCAAAAGTAAATTATATCCTTCCAGGCATATTTGAATCAATTACTCATGTTGTCATAGACAGCTAGAGATTGAGGGATTTTTTACCTAAGATTGAGGGCCAGAGAAGTTGAGCAATTTGTCCAAGCTCACACACCTGGGGAAGAAAGGAGACGGAAGACTAAACAATCCAGAGAGGTCAAGCCCTTCATTCATCCCATCAGCACACACTTCAAGGATAAATGAGAAACCATCCAAAACGTTTTGCAACGACAGTATCATCTACGTTGCAATTCTCCAACTCATTCACATGCCTCTCATGAGATCTTTACCAACAACCCTATTGGAGTGAAGGTGCACTTCATCAAAGAAAGACAGCCCTGATCTGTGGGAGATGGATTAGCTTGACCTGGCCGACTCTCAGGGAACACGTGGAGTTCTTCATTCTAACAGTACGTAAATCATCCACTTAATAATCTGCTGTAGGATTTTGCAGGGAATGAGCACCAGTGTGAGGTCTTTTGAGACCTGCCAACTCCCTGAAAACTGTGCAAGTCATCTCCAGTCATCAGGCACCACTCCACGGCGGCCTGGCTCTCCCTGAACTGGACCTGAGGTTTGCTTAAAGCTGCTAAACGCACGCCTGCCATCTACTCTTTATCTGAGGCTTCAGCTTCTCTAAGTCGTTTCCACCTGAGACTGTTTTCCTTGGTAGAGAAGTCAAACTGAGTCAGAGTGGCTCTCTTTTCTTTCTGCCTTCTGTTGTTGTAAGTGCATCTGAAAAATTCCTTCTTTTGTTATTAACATTTTCAAGAACCTCGGCTCAGTCAGACACTTACTCCAGGCCTATTCCACCCTTTCGTATCTGCTTTTTGTCACAGCCACTGACGAAGACTCTCTCCTTGACCAAACTTTAATCAGGCTCCTCTGATCCCAACTAGGCCCTGTCCTTGGGCGTGTTCTCCAAGAGCCCGGTTTGAGCAAAAATCCTGCTAAGTCAGTTTAGGCAGAATCTCCCACCCTTAATATCTGATCATCCTTGAGAGCTGACCAAATTCTTCATCCCCAACCATCCCCTAAGTAACGTGCAGTCCCCCTGGCCTGCCTTCAGCAAGAATCCTATGAAGTTGGTTTAGCCAGAATCCCCCTTACCGCTAGTGCTTCCTCCATCCACTGACTCCCACCCTGATCCTTGGCTATGAATTCCCACTTTTCCTTGTTGAATTCAGAGCTAAGCCAGGTCTCTCTGGCCTACTGCAGAACCCCACTGCTCTAGTCCCTATACCTATTGCAATAGCCCTGAAAATGGCCTGACTTAGTGTTTTAACAAGTGACAGAACAATTTTGTCTTTAGAACCTCCCTTGGACGTCTTTTGTATATGTGCTTTTAAAGTGAGAGCTCATCCAAGAACTTCCTCAAAATCAGCATCTTCCCTTTCCTTCCTTCTCCAGATCCCTCTCTCCTACCCCTCATCCCGTAAGAGGCAGAATCAGGATTCAACTCCAAACCGCCTGTGGAGCCTGAGCCTTTAACTACTACGCTGTATTATCCTTGTATGCTCTGCAAATGTGTCAATGACTGAGCCATTAATTAAAACGCAATCAATAACAGAACCTGAGTTCTCTCTCCACCTGCCTCTCAACAATTAAGCAGACATCAAAGAAGAGCCTGAAGGGGACATGAGGGGCAGAGAATTTAAGTAATTTAACCAATGTTAGGAGAGAATTTTTTTTAAAGGTAAAATCATGACTGTGAAAGATAAACAGAGCCAGACCCTAGTTAAAGTGGTAAGGACATATTTTAATCAGTCATATAGTGTTGAAATAGAGAAAAGAGTCTATCACTAACTGAACTGAACTTGGATTTGTACAAGAGTGACCTGGCCTTTTAAAGGGAGAATGAGGGCGATTGAAACAAAAAAACAGCCCACTAATTGGGAAAAATATTTACAAGCTACTTATCCGACAAAGGGTTAATCTCCATAATATACAAAGAACTCACACAGCTTAACAACAAAAAAACAAACAACCCAATCAAAAAATGGGCAGAGGACATGAACAGACATTTCTCCAAAGAAGATATAAGTATGGCCAATAGACACATGAAAAGATGTTCATCATCACTAATCATCAGGGAAATGTAAATCAAAACTACACTAAGATATCACCTTACACCCGTTAGATTGGCAAAAATATCCAAAACCATGAGTGACAAATGTTGGAGAGGTTGTAGAGAAAAAGGAGCCCTCATACACTGTTGGTGGGAATGCAAACTAGTGCAGCCACTATGGAAAACAGTATGGAGATTCCTCAAAAAATTAAAAATAGAAATACCCTATGACCCAGCCATCCCACTACTGGGTACCTATCCTAACAACCTGAAATCAGCAATCCCAAGAGTCCCATGCACCCCTATGTTCATCACAGTATTATTTACAATAGCCAAGACGTGGAACCAACCTAAATGCCCAGAAACTGATGATTGGATAAAGAAGATATGGTATATATACACAATGGAATACTACTCAGCCATAAAAAAGGACAAAATTGTTCCATTCGTATCAACATAGATGGACCTTGAGGGTATGATGTTAAACAAAATAAGCCAGACAGAGAAAGACGAACTCTATATGACTCCACTCATAGGTGGAAGTTAACATATAGACAAGGAGAACTGATCAGTGGTTACCAGGGAAAAGGGGGGGTGGGGGGAGGGCACAAAGGGTGAAGCGGTGTACCCACAATATGACTAACAATAATGTACAACTGAAATCTCACAAGACTGTAATCTATCATAATCTTAATAAAAAAGAATTAATTAAATAAAATAAATAAAAAGGGAGAATGAGGGATTAGGGAGGGGGTGAGCAGGAGTTCAGTAGAGTCAGTGGAGTAATATATTACCAAAAGCTGTAAGGGGAGATTGGTCCATGTGAAACCATATGGGTTTGTCAGGCTCCTACCCTCCCACAGAGACCAGGAGACAGGGACTCTACATTCAGGCATTGGCTCGAACAAATAGTAAATTGTTTTGGCAGCCTTGCGTTTTCTCAAGCAGACACTTTAAGAGGGACTAGGGTCATCCTAGAGATGTGGCCATATGTAATTAGAAATTATGTTAGTGTTTTGTGCAAGTCTTTTTTTTTTAACATTGGCCCTGAGCTAATATTCATCATCAATCCCCCTCCTTTTTTTTTTCTCCCCAAAGCCCCAGTACATAATTGTATATCCTAGTTGTAAGTCCCTCTAGTCTTTCCATGTGAGACGCTGCCACAGTGTGGCTTGATAAGTGATGCATAGCTCCACACCCAAGATCCGAACCACTGAACCCTGGGCCGCCCAAGAGGAGTGCACAAACTTAACCACTCTGCCACTGGGCCAGCGCCTGTTCAAGTCTTTATAGGACAAGGTGAAGCCTAGTCAAGAAAGGGCTCAGGAGAGCCTGGCTAGAGTTTGGTCAAGGAGAAATCTTTGCCAACTCTCACATAATATAAAAGAATATGTGTCAAACATTTTATTTAACTCATTAATTAATGGT